CTCTGTCTATCAGATCTAGTCCCTTAAATCTATTTCTCACTTCCACTGTATAGTCATAAGGGATTTGATTTAGGTCATACCTGAATGGTCTAGAGGTTTTCCCCACTTTCTTCAATTTAAGTCTGAATTTGGCAGTAAGGAGTTTATGATCCGAGCCACAGTCAGCTCCCAGTCTTGTTTTTGCTGACTGTGTAGAGCTTCTCCATCTTTGGCTGCAAAGAATATAATCAATCTGATTTCAGTGTTGACCATCATCATCTAAAGACGGGTTTAGCTTCATCTTCGGTATATACGTAGTATTTCAGTTTTGATTCAGAATATCTCCTAATTTTTATTTTCAAATATGTTTTGATACAGGAGTGGTAGAAGTGTTTCTAAAATTTCAACTACAAGAGATTTTGTTCTTATATTTTATGAATGAATTCTAGTGACTAGTGGATTCTCCTGAAATGTTATTTTTGGATACCTCTACAGCTCTGCTTATACCGAGCCACCGGCCTTTAGGAGGACAGTTATATCGGCTCTAAAGCCTCCGAAAACTGGGAAAACCCATGGGGAAGCCATTAGTCCTGCAATTCCGAAGGCAGAAGGGCAGTGTCCCCGCCACGCCTTGCTCCCCTCGCTGTAGCCTGAATTTAAGCCAAGATTGCTGCAACCATCAGTAGTATTAACAACATCGTATGGTCACGATGAGCCACAGGTCAGCTGGCAGCCACAGCATTTTTTGTAAGTTTTTGAAGGCTAGTATATTCACACTGTCTTGGCTGTTTTATTCGTGCACACTTACAGAAATTCTTACTTTTCTCACTTTCATGCTCTTCTCCGATTCTCCATTCCCACTCTGCTACTTAATAAAATCAATTTTTACCTCTCAGGATCTGGCGCAAGCCTCCTCACAGGCTTCCTGGGAGGTCTCGTTGTCTTATTCATGCGTTCGCCTGCTCTAACTCCTTTTCATGTCTCCTCTTTGGATCTGGTCTCTTTCCAGAGAGATTCTTCTGCACCCAGAAGGGCCACATCTACTAAATCGATGTCCAGGGGCGAACTTGGTTGAGTGAAGGCAGAGCAAACCCAGAGCCACCTCTGAGCCCACCGGCAGTTCAGCTCAGGCTCGGGGCGTCTCTGGGGTGCTGCAACTGCGAGGCAGGGGAAGCAAGGCGTGGGGCTTTGGAATCACATGACTCACGGCTTCCCCACATGTTTTTCTGGTTTTCCAACGCTTTAAAGCCAATATAACGTCCTTCTAAAGGCGGGTGATCTTCACAACCCAGATAATCACAATGGTGTGATCACTCACCTAGAGCCAGATATCTTGGAATGTGAAGTCAAGTGGGCCTTAGGAAGCATCACTACGAACAAAGCTAGTGGATGTGATGGAATTCCAGTTGAGTTATTTCAAATCCTGAAAGATGATGCTGTGAAAGTGTTGCACTCAATATGCCAGCAAATTTGGAAAACTCAGCAGTGGCCACAGGACTGGAAAAGGTCAGTTTTCATTC